TGCTTTTGTGGCAATCTTGAACAATGTTTCTCGTTTCAACAATCATGTATTCATTCAGTTACAATTACAGCCAATTGGAAGATTTTCTTGCAATCTCCTTTGGTGTGGGGCATGGCTTTCCTCCCCCTCGTCTGTAATTTTAAATCATCTATGAAATTGTTTTTCATTCAAACAAAATGACGAAGTCATGCGATTAAAATAATTATTCTACCTATACTACTTATGAAATGATTTCAAATAATAAAACATGCATGCTATGCATATTAATATTCCTCATTTCTATCTCTAGAATTAACAACTGGTTAAGATTCATACTCAGGAGAACTAATTCAATTTCACAGTAAAGGGATTAGTTGTGCATACACTAGAAGAAAGAAAATTGTAAAATCAGATTTCTCGTTTGTTAATTTCTACTTTTCCTTCTTCATTTCTTTAAAGTGCCTCAACAGTAAACATCTGTTACATTCCTTTCAAGTACCTCAACAAGGTAAACATTGTTCCTTCTAATAAACTTTGCTAGATTTGGAAGTAATATAAAACCCCAAAAGAAATCTTGTTAGGAGTTTTTGGAGTATTTGGACTCTTCAGCACCATAAAATCAATGCTTATGAGAGGTGATGGAAACAACTATACTACTTCGTTGCTTCTCCCAAATAGGCATGTGTGCTTGCAAGCTGACTACAAGGAATTGACCAAGTATACTTTCATTACTTGCATTCCAACGAGCAACCATGATAGTTCCCTCTGAAATTGAGGATTTCAAGCTTCAGATTGTGGAGCAATTGTTTTCTATGAAAGGTAAAGTTTCTTTGATAAACGAGACTCTAGGAGTTCTGAAGGAAATTTTAAAAAAGAGAAAATAAAATATATTTTGAGGATGGAAATGAATATAACATACAATTTCGGAATGGATCGAGTACAATATAGCATGTCGGCTGTCTATCACGAATGAATTTTTCTCCAACTATTAAAAATTATTTTAGCTTTTTTTTTTTTTTTTTTTTTTGGC